GGGTAATTTGTCTGTTCTTCACTTTGTAAAATAGTTTTCTGGGATTCTTCATTTCAGTGGTTTGGATCGGAGGAGGATGCTGAGCGCACTCACAGGGACGTCTGTGTGAGTGTGAGCAGGGGAGGATCCTATTTCTCTTAAAGCCGGGTCAGCAACACAAAGATCAGCAGAGCTGAGAGTGAGAGGCACTGAGGAGGGAACGCACACACTTTTAAACAGGCACACAGACTCACACTAAGACAAGCGGCCTTTTGTACTCAGTTGTTGATCCGTCTGACACGCAGACTCTTCGCTGGACTCTGGACCACTTGAGAATATTCCCCAGGACTCTATTTCTCCTCATGCACCTGCGGGGACTCTCAGCGCTCCAGGGGCTCAGCACCCAGAGAGGGACCATGACCCCGTGGACCACCCAGGATGGAGCTTCATGCAGCTCCAGAGAGAGGACAGGTTCCAGCGGCCGCTGCAGCCCACTGAGGAGAGCTCCTCTCTGGGTATGGCTGCTGCTGGGGGCTTTGGTGGTTCCTGGAGCCTGGAGCTTTCTGAACGAGGAGCAGGAGGAGCTGCTGGTGGAGCTTCACAACTACTTCAGAGGACAGGTTTCACCCAGCGCCTCGGCCATGATGCCTCTGGTAAGACCCTACAAGTCATCCCAAATAAGCATAAACAAAGGAGGGGAAGGTAATCCAGCACGTTTATCCAATAAATGTGTGATATTGTATCTGATATCACCGTTTCCTCCTCGAGTGCAGACACAGAATATAAAAACAGACACATCTATAAATATTTATGTCAGTACATTTAATCACTGTTTTTGCTGATTCATCACAAATAAGCAGAGACGTCTATACTCATAGTTATATTAGATATATATCAGCAGATTAGAGTAAAATAGTATGACGTCATGTTTTTAGGGCATGGAGCTGGACTCAACATCACCATTATGCTATGTTGGTGAGTCCAGGCTACAAGTAACTGTTTGGATCAGGAGCAGACCAAGTGTGATAGTGTTTGGTTTAAAGCACAGCATTAAGAAATAAAGATTTTCATCCAGCTTTAGAGAACTCAATAAAAATATATCTTTATCTCTGCTTTCTTTGTGTGAGCACCAAACTAAAGTCCAAATGCAGCATCTCTGTTTTCTGTAACTGAACTACTTTAAATATGGTTTAAATACAGTTAGCCTGCAGCTACAGCAGGCTAACACATAACCTGCTTAGCTGAGAGTGATTCAGCTTTTTTTGATTGAGTAACTTGTGGTTTTGAGCTGTGAATGTGTCATCACTCCGGGGAGGAAGACGACAGTGGCTTCACTGATCATGAACCATTTATGGTGTTACATTTTTCATCTTTTTGACTCATCTTTATGTTGACGCCATCAGGAAATATATGTGATTGCAGGAAATTCAGCAACTTAGAAATACTTTGAAGTTGGTTTAAAAACAGAACAGAAACGGTCGACTAATCATGTCAAACGGCGATGACGGAGCACAGCTGCAGATCTTTACTGTGTAACAGAAATTCACGCCTTCGTATCGCCATTACGATGACGCGTTCTTCAGCATTAGTGTGTAGACACAGCAAGAAGGTCCTGGATTGATGTCCTGGGTGTTCTTCATTCCATGTCGGTTTAACTGGTTTTTCTAAACTGGTCGTAGGCGTGAATGTGAATGGTCTTTTCTGTGTGTTAGCACTGGTGTAACCCACCCCTCACCCAGTTTCGGAGAAGAAGTTGAAGAAATGGATGGG